ATAATTGTAAATCTATGTATCACCAGTTTTGTTCGCTAAAATTAAGTGGAATGGTAGTGGTTAAAGGAAATAAATTAATAATTCGTCCGACCTGTGCTAAAAATGTGCGTGACCATGAATTGAACACAGCTGTAAGTAAAGCTATTAAATCTAAAGACCATGAAGAACAGTTAAGCCTTGGTTTCTTTGAACACTCCGTCGCGGTGAGCGGACAGTCCGTCAACCGCTGAGGACAGCAATTTTCGCCCGAGGATGAGTTGTTTTTGTGTCGCGATATAGAAGGTGTCTTTAATATCATTGGGCAGCTGAGGTTTTTTGGAAATGAAACCAAATTTAGGGAGTATTTTAGACTATCTACAGATCTTTTTGAATTCGTGTAGAGTTTTTTAAAGGACATAATTTCCAAGAAATCTAAAAATAAAGTCATGATGTCATTTGTATGTGTGAATTTGTCACCCATTGTTTTAAAATTAATAACAATATAGTCTCCGCACACGCCGACGATTCCGCTGATATCAAACTCAACAGATATCAACCGACTCTTCGCGACAAATCAGCGGCATGACGCCGTCCTGCTCAGCTAAGCGGATTCAAGAAAACCATTCCCATTTAAATACTCTGGTTGGATAAAATCGTCAAAACGCGACGGTTGACGGACTGTCCGCTCACCGCGACGAAGTGTTCAAAGAAACCAAGGCATTAGTTGATATAGACAAGGCTAATAAGGCTCTAGAATCCGCGATAATCACATCACCGTAAAAATTAGAAAACCAAAACAAAATCGATTGCTGCCAAAATGGCGGGAATGTCGAAAACTACACAAATTATAAATTGTTGAAAAAAGACGCGTAGTGTCTCAACCGCGAGTGTACGCTGTTAAAATCTCGCATAATGACTTATTGTACATTACAAACATTCAATAATTAGTTTTCTTGAAGAAAAAGTCGAAATAATCCAACATACAGAGGTAAACAAACACCCTCCTTTCCCCGCTGAACCGACATCTATCCATAACCTAAATATCAACGTCAATACACTGCTACCGCCTATGCCAAGCCGAGAAGGCTTGAAACCATCCAGCTCCGCCGAAAGCAAAAACCATGGTGCTAACTTCGGGTCGTCTGGTAGTTCGTTTGCAACCAGTGCTGACAACCAAAATTAACAGAAGAAATCATATGTCAGTACCGTAACCCCAAACATTCCAAACAATAAACAAATAGTATATTACATTACGAGTGTGGAAAGTGACATTTTTCACACGAGTGGGAAATATTGTCGCACGAGGCGTAAGCCGAGTGCGACTATCACACGAGTGTGGAAAATCACTTTTCACACAAGTGATGTACAATATTTTTCCTACGACCACAAAATAATTTCATCAAAAAATGTAAAACCAGATTATTATAATAATTAAAATGTATTTAAAAAAATAATCAACAATAATCGTATTTATTAAATTTTCATAATTTCTAAACAAATAAAAAAAATAAAAAAAAAAAAATAAAAAAAAAATAAAAAAAAAATCTGGCACAGCCAGGATTCGATCGCGGTCGTTGGACGGTCTCAAATTGCAAAGTTGATGCTCTAACCAACTGAGCTAACAGGCCTTACGGTAATTGATTGATCTAATCGCTTATGTGTTTAACCAGAATAAAAAGCAAATATATCTTAGTTATTTTAAAATTATTTTAAAAATAATTGTTAAAGATAAATATCTAGGATCTAATTTACAATAATTTAACAATCATATCGATTTTAGTATTAATATGGACATTACATAGATCAAAATAGAAATTATGTGTTTGACATTTTCTGACAGCTACTGCGGAAAGTAGCATATTCTCACTTGGGTGGAAAGTAAATTCTTATTCATACGCGTGTGATATAGGGCACTTTCCATAGGTCTATATAGTGTGATATGTGTCACTTTCCTAAGTGGTCGTAGGAAAAGCAAATATCAAGACGGGTGTAATCCTGGAAGACCAGTAAATTTTGCAAAATGAAAACACTGATCAAACAGCTGATTCCACTCAGGAAAAGTGACATGAGTTGCCAAAACGTCGTAATCGCAAAGGCGGCAAACAAAACCAAAACGGTGGAACCTACACAGTACACAAAAAGGAATATGGGCATCGGTGAAGGTGAAAATGGAGGTTTTGCAGGAGCACCCTCTAGCTCTATCTTTATCGGATGAGAAGAACAGTCAGCAGTGAAACTATCCAAAATTATATTAAACAAAAACCAGGATATGAAACACTAGAAGTCCAACAGATAAAAAGGATGAATTGTATGATTCATCTTTTTGGCTAAGAATGTTAGTGTCAAGCGCTTTGATTTTAGCAGGTAAAATGCTTATATAGAAAATTATTAGTAAATAAAACCAGACATTCAGAAAATTTCATATTATTATCTATACTTCAATATAACATACAATCAATCTGCCCAAAAATATTAGAATTAAGAGCCGGTTGTCATGACATTCTGTGCTTTAACAGGCATTGGCTAAGAGAAGAAGAGGTAAGGACTTTCCAAATTTGACGTTTTCTTTTACTATGGTAAGTTGCAGCACTGTTAAAAATATAATCTTAAACATAAAAAATAAAAACTCTCTTGATTGCTATTTGATGAATGCAAAAATTTTAAATCATATTTCCTCAAAAATACTTTTACCTCTTACAATTCTCTTTGATGAATGTATAACGCAATCAATTTATCCTATCAGTCTGAAATGCTCTAGGGTGGTCCCGGTTTATAAAAACGATCCTTCCAATTATAGGCCTATTTCTATTATGCCTGTTATTGGTAAGGTACTAGAACAAATATTGCAATCACAAATAATCACATACTTCGAGACAAATAATTTATTTAATAAATTACAGTTTGGTTTTAGGTCCTCTAGAAGTACAGTTGACGCTATTAACACCTTAGTAAAAATAATAAATCAAAACTTTGACAAAAAAGAATACACAGGTGGTCTATTCTGTGACTTAACACAGGTTACTTATACACAAACTGAATATATATGGTTTTGACTTACCAAGTAAAAAATATGACTCTTATCTTGATGAGAGGAAACAGTATGTAAATATAGAAAAAAGTAAGTCAGATTTAATTGAGATGGCTCTAGGGGTGCCTCAGGGCTCCGTGCTGGGGCCTTCATTGTGTATTATTTACATTAACGGAATTGATGATTTAACCAGCACAGAGACCCAGAGGTGCTTAAACTTTACGGACGACACAAATGGGGTCGATATTGCTGAAATATTACTTGATTTAGTGGGAAGCCTGGATGAGATGCAGTCAAAAACAAAAGAATGGTTTGGACAAAACCATCTTAGCCTTAATGAACAAAAAACACAAAGAATTTATTTTTCTATGAGGCCTATAGATGTGCCCAACCTTGAGACTGTCAGGTATTTGGGAGTCAATCTTGACCTCAAGTTATCTTGGGAAAAACACACAAAGCAACTAGCAAAAGAATTATATTCCGGAGCTTACTTGCTATATAAGAAAAGTTGATTAGAATTGAATATTACATTCAAATATGCAATTACACCGATCTATCTGAAAAAAGATTTTGTTATTTTTTATAAACTCTACACTCTACACATTGATTGTAAATATCTGAAAACGTTATAAATTACGTTAGCTACTATAAACATGATACGCTTTCCTTTTGTTGATGTTTGTGAAGAATTTAGCAAATTTCTTAATGAAAATTTTCGATTTTGTAAAAAAATAAACGTACTTTACTCTTGAGCAAAATTCATATTTTTTGACAAACCTCGTATACGGCTTGAAAAATTTGATATCTGATGACTGTATTTTAAGTTTTGGGTCATGCAGGACTTTTTATCAAGAATAACTTTTTTTTCCTAAAATCAATAATAAAAATGTTTTCCATATGGTTCCAACTTAAGTAGACACACTGTATAACATATTTTTGGTGTTATTACCTAAGTTTCCAAAGCCCTACTATAGTATATGTTTTTATTTTAAAATAAAGGCAAATCTTTCAAATAACTTTCAACATATTTTTTTTCAAAAAAAATTTATAAGTAATCCCAGTTCAACATTTCGTGACTTGGTTCTTTTATGCATAACTACATCCAATTAAGGAAATCTTAAACCACAACTTTAATGATTTGATAATAACTTAAAACAAATATTTTTCACAGTGTTGCAACAACATAGTAAAATCAGGTGGCTGTCTTGGAACTACAAGTGTTTTTATGTTACCTATTTGTACAATGTTTTTGTGTACATTCTTCCTTACTATATTAAAAAAAAATGTATGACTTAATGTCATTTTATTTAGGTACCCATGTGCATGTGCTATATTATATGTTAATGTATTTTCTATATTTTTCCTTAAATGCCCAATATTTTCAAGTTTGTACTATTGATGATTTATATTTTAATAAAATGAATAAATTACTCTACAAAAATAATATAAAACTTATTCAGCAAATGGATTTTCAATGTTATTAATTAAAAAATATGTGGTATTCAATTGTATTACTTTAATCCAAATATTAACCCACGAATCATGACTATTTAAAGAAATAAAAAAAAACATCGGAAATTTTAAATTTTGGATTTGCCTATATTGTTATATTTCCTTACCAACTTACATTTGGTACAACTAGGTTAATAAAAAAATATTTTAAATTTAATATAAATGGAAAAAAATTGTATTGAAAGAACTAGACCAACAAAAATTGCCTATTTCTTTTTTTATGGACATTAAATTTTATTTAATATTTTTTCTAAAACTCAGTTGTACAATATGAATCAAAAATATTTAACTAAAAAAATCCATACCGGTATTTATAATATACTTTTGAGAAAAACAATTAATCTGGAAGAGTTTTTAAAAAATAACGTTAATTGGTATTTTAGACTCTATCCTGATCATTATTTGTCTCAAAACAATTACATCAACCGGTAATAATCCACTTAAAACCGAATAAAAATCATAAATATTAATTCCTAAATACCTGTGACGTCCTCCTCGTTTGTATCTAGTACAATCTCTTGCGTAATGTCCTCTATCTCCGCACTCGTAACATCTATCATCGGGATGGAAAGGCTTTCCGCGAGATCTCGGCGGCGGTCCTCTATATCTTCCGCCGCTTTTACCGTTAGACATTTCCACTCTAGCGCGCCTACCGCACACCGTTCTGCCATCTAACAAAAGGGAAAATATTTAGTTGCGAAGCCATTCCAAGTGCGACAAGCATACATTTTTCTACTCGCGCTTTTCGACCGCAGACTCTACGACCATCTGAACAAATGAAGAGATGTAGTTGCAGTTTAGAAACATGGTAGAAATGTAGTAATGTTGACGAGCCGGGCTGTTCTTATTTTAGAAGGTCTCGTAGTTTTTGCAACATTTTTCGGGCATTTCTTATTAACGGTAATGATTTAGAAGCAAAATGTGTTTTATTTTGTATATCGCACCATCAATTACTAACGAAACTCGAAAAAAATCGATATTTTAAGTTAGGGCGCGAAATAGATGTAAAAAGTACACAAAGTTGTACATTATATAGGTTATTCTTATTTCTAGAAATATCACTTTTCTAGTTGTGTTAGTATCGCATTGATGCTGCGATATTTACATGATCATTTTTTTGCACTTTGCAACATTTTTGGTACCTAGCTTAAAAATAAATGTAAATGACTTTCAATCATTGATATGACAACCTAAGGTTAAGTCATTTGGAACTATTTTTGATATACAAAATTTGAAGTGGCACAGTCTAGAGAAGAAAGGAGTGCAGTAATTTAAATTGTAGAACGTAGTACAAGAAGTAGATATCTCCATCAAGCCTAAAAAACATGCCATCGAAAGCCTTAGATAAATTGGTATCAACCTGTCCTCTAGTCTCTAATGATTTACAAAGATATTAACTAAAAACTGTCAGATTACTAATAGTTGAACGAGAAGTCATGAATCCATGTTGATATACAGATATAAGATTTTTAGCAGATAGATAGATAGACACGGTTATACAAGATGACCTATAAAAGTTTGCAGCGTTTTACAATATTTTAAAAAGGTTAAAAAATGTATAAAAATATAAGACCTATTAGCCTTGTCATACAATTTTAAAAAGTAGAGACATGAGACAATTGAGTTTAAAATAAAATACAAAAATAGTATACAATAAGGCAAAAACATTAGACAGTAATTATAATAAAGAGATACCATTACGGATTACAGAGTATTATTCATAAATTCTGTATAGGAATAATATGTTTTGGACAAAAGTTATGCATAAAGCTTATTTTTGAATACATTAAAAAAATTTTCATTGCCATTGACATGAGTGTATCTATTAAAACACCTCTGTAGATTTCGGAATTCTATCCAACTGAGAGTCTAGAGATATTTGTGATTGCTTGTGTTATAATTGTGCGAGTGTCTATAATCTGATAGTTGGGATTCCTGTTTTTTATATTAAGTATTAGTAAGTATATATACAAAGATGGAAGTGTTAGGAATTTAAAGTCATGAAAAAGTTGTTTGCAGCTAGTTGTTCTTGAAGCCCCAGCCATGCATCTTATAATTTTTTTTTTTTTTTGTACACAGAAGGCTCGCTCCAGATCAGCTGAGCAGCCCCAAAAAAATAGACCGTATGAGATAAGTAATTCAACCAAACCAAAATATGTTAATTTTAAAACATTTACATACAGTGTTTTTTAACTGCCTGATGCGAACACATACACTACTTAGTTTATTTGATACATCGTGGGCTTAGAGCAAAAACTGACCCAAGTCCAAAATTGTCATTTTTTTTTATTTGACCAAACAACTTAAAAATACAATATCTTTGCCTGGAAAAACTGACCAAGTCCCCAACGCCACAGAAATAGGTGTATTAAACATTAATATTAAAACTAAGTTAATTTTTTTGAAAACAAAAAAAAAAAAAAAAGAACAATAGCTGCCTTTTAAATTTTATTTAAGGGTTTATTAAAAGATAAAAATATAAAGCAAGTAACCGCCCAAATTAAACTTTAATTAAAAAAGCATCTCTTTGAAAATTATATTATATATGTCCGGAAAGTTTAAAGTGTATTTACCGAAATTCGATATTTTGGATTGATGATTTAGTTTATTGAAATAGCTGAATTCGTTTGTTATATTTTTTGGTAGAAAGGTCATGATTTCAAATTTTTTTACATTAACATTTGTGAAATACAATAACTAGAAAATTCATGTGCAGCACTATAGGCTTGACAAAATAAGCGATACGCCACCTACAGTTTTAATTTGAAACCTTCCAGTGGGCCATTAATGTTTTGTTTACTCATGTGATTCAAGCATAATATAGGTTAATCTTACGGTTTATGTTTGTATATGGTGTTTTAAAGACGTTTAATTGATAAAATTATTGTTTATTTTATCAAAATGAACCATCATTGTTGTGTTCCCATGTGTTCCTCTTGGGTAAAACTAAATAAAGAACTTAGTTTTCATACATTTCCCAAAAAAGGACAACGTGTTTTGGTAGAAACAAAATTAGGGAAACGAGAAGCTGTTGATCGGAGGGAGGAATGGATAAGAAAATTAAAAATTGGAAAGCCTGTAAGTCCGTACATGAGAGTATGTTCATTGCATTTCTCTGAAAACGATTATTTTTATAGAGGTTAGTATTTAGTCGTTTTTTGTGTTTCCGTATTAATAGTTTTTGTTTGTAGGGGACAGCTCTTAATTACATAGATTAAAATTTAATGCAGTACCGTCTAGGAAGTTACCTTTGGAAGATAAAATAGTATTATGTATTTAGGTTATGGGTTAATGTAATATAAGGTAAACATACTTTTGCTAAATAAATACACTGCCACTATCTATAAATACATATATAACCAACACTAAAACTAACAAAATCCTTTACACACTTTAAAAACGGAAAATTCAACACCTAATCTTACGAAAACCCTATGGCATGTCATATGAAAACAAATGTAAACAAACTATAAATGGCCCAGCGGAGGACGAAAAAGTGACCGGTAGAGGCGCTGGAGTCTAAGCTTTTTTCGCCTATTAGCAATATATTGAAGTTCAGATGCATTTTTTGCTGTTGTTCTAAAAGTTGTGTCATCTGCATATATAATTTTGGTACTTTAACTTGTACAAGATAGAGCTAAGTCATTAATAAAAACTAAAATTAAAACAGGGCCCAATATTGAGCCCTGCGGTACTCCCGTTGTCACATTTCGACTATTTGATTTACTGCATCAAATGGTTACAACTTGTTCACGGTTGTTTAAATATGACTGTATCCACTTATTTGGCGGGCCCCTTATACCTATTCGGTACAATTTATCTACTAGCAGTCGATGGTCATTGAGTCAAAGGCTCGTGATAGGTCGAAGTATAAGGTAATATTTAATTCCTTGTTATTTAAAGATGTGTAAACAAAATCGCATAACTCCCCTATAGCACAAGATGTTGACTTATTTCTGCGAAAACCATGTTGAAATTTACTCAAAAGTCTATTATGTTCTAGAAATTTAATGAACCTGTTATTATAGGCCATTTCGAATACTTTAGCCAGTTGACTTTGAATGCAGATGTTCCTATAGTTTGCCATGTCATTTACAGACCTTTATTTTTATATATAGGAATGGATTTTAATTTTTTAATATGCTAGGATAGTCACCACATAAAAAAGACTCGTTTACAAGGTAGGACATAGGTACACTAATATCTTCAGCAATAAAAAACAATATTGTTCCATCTATTTTATCTATACAGGCAGATTTTTTACAAGTTGTTTTCTGTATAATTTTTGTTACTTCCTTTGGTGTAGTTGGAGTTAAAAATAGAGTGTTATAGAAAAATCTTGAAGCCTTGCTTCACTATAATTTGGTAGAAGATAGTCTATATCAGTAAACTGATTAAAAATAACATACATTTTGTAAACCAGAAATTTTGTTGCCTTGACAATTTAGCATCTCGATGGGTAATTTTTTTTAATAATTTTTCTTTTGCCCCTTTTACAATTTTCCAACATTCTTTTATTGAATTTTTTGCATTAATTACCCTTTTATTATTATAGGAAAGTTTTGCTTATTTGACTTTATTATCATAAATTATTTTGAGTTTTTTTATATCTATCATTAATAGTATCATTATTACTAAACTCTACTCAACTTAAACGCAAGTAACGCCTAAACACAATAGCTCCTTAACAACAGCACATTGAGCTAGAGGGTAGAGAAACATCCAAAACAGGATCACTGTGCTTGGCAATAGCAGCTGGGCTTGTGCGTATCATCTGTAGTCAAGGGGCTATTGTGTTTAAGTTGAATAGAGTTTAGTTATGTATATACTATGTAATTCATACAGAATCTCATGCACTTAGTTCCGCATTATAAAAATCATTTTTGTGTCGTTTAGGTTTAACTTTTTTAAATGTAAAAACGTTGTTGGAATTGTACAAAAAAGTCGAATAAAAGCTGTTAAATTTGTTATTGAAGCTAGCTGAGTTATACATGTCTTCCCAGGACTCGTTAATAATTATATTTTTGAAGATAAGCTTGTTACTGTCACTTAAATCCCTAACAAAAGATTGTGTAGTTTATACTTGATTTGTTATTTGCAAGTTGAATTCACAGAGTTGTAGTGAATGGTCTGATAGGAAACTATTTTGAACAATAACATTTTTATATTCAATATTTGTAAAAAGTGGATCAACTGTCGAAAGCTATGAAGGAGGGTTGCCAGATTGATTATGTGTACACTGACTTTTTTAACCCTATCTTACTTCAAAAGCTCGACAAATATGGCATACATGGGGTCGTACTGCAATGGATTAGTAGCTATCTTATGAACAGAACTCAAATGGTTAGAGCGAATCATCACTATTCTAACTCATTTCAAGTTACTTCAGGTGTTACTCAACACCTTGGTCCCTTATTATTCAACTTATTTATAAATGACATCATTCATTATTTTCAGTATGGTAAAGAACTATTGTTTGCAGATGATTTGAAAGTTTTCCTAGTTATTAAAACAATTTATGCCCTCTGACTCCAGTCTGACCTTGATAATGTATCAAACTGGCGTTCTTCTAATTGGCATGGACTTGAATGCCATAAAGTGCCATGTCAATCACTTTTATCGATCCCTTGTACCAACTATTACTTTTGATTATAACTTAGTCATATCTTGGAGTCTGTTAATTAAATTAAAGACCTTGGAGTTATTCTAGATCCCACTTTAAGCTTCAGGCAACATATCCCTAAGGTTATCCATCAATCCATGAAAAT